TCTACCACGAGCCAGGTTATTTCAACGAACACCTTCCTGCCCTATTCTTAGGATCGGTATTGATTTTATCCTCCCATCCATATTATGGGATAAAACGCCAGGATCGGACTACACGGTGTTACATTCCAGAAGACAGAACCTTCGATGTAGACTGTGTCTCGACTGTTATTCAAACTTGGCCACTGTTCTTTGAACCTTATTACGCGCCACTCAAGTCATTACGGCCCAATTATAAGTTTTCATTTTCGAGACTACAGACTTACAATGTCTGGTTGTTTTTATACGGGGTTATTCTAAATTACTGTTGGGGTCTCCGTGGCCTATAAATGGAAACCCCGACAATAATTTAGAATCGCCCTGTATATGAGAGGATGCCAGAAATTGCACATGCGGACGTAGGTTCTTTTAACGAAACACTTTTTTTTCTCCACGTCGTCCAGACTGGATCTGGGGCCCACCCAGCCTCCTACCCAAAGGGTACCTGGAGACTCCTTCCCCGGGAGTAAGGCGTGAAGCTGACCACTCACCTCCAAATAATGCCGAGGTAAAAAAACATGGATCTATACATCCCCTCTCCCATATGTCTTCATGGAGAAGTGCTTGATTACTAGGAGGACAACTCTGCAGTTACACGAGTACCTTTGATCCAGAGGCCCAATCTAAGAATTTCAGGACTTACCCACTAAAATTATAATTCCGGAATCGGAAATTCAATTTCGAACCTTGGACAGTTTCTTCAGGAAGGACCCAGACCCCCTGAGCCCACTCTTCCGGGGCCCTCTCAGAATCCCCCACTACCACACTTCCCGACTGAATTTTACAGTGGACTGGGGATGTCGGGTTTTGATAAAATGTTAATTTAAGTTTTTATGAAGTTTGTTTATGTTCTGATACCTCGAATCGTTAACTCTTAACGATCCATTGTAAAATATTAATTAACGTGCTTATTTGTAGTACTTATAATGGTGTAATATTATGTTAGGGTCCCTCTATTGATTTTATAATAAAGACAATTGAATTATAGTGTAATATGGGGTTAAACTGTTGGAAAATGGGTCTGAACTTTCAATTCTATGGACACAACCCAGCACATCTCACGTTATAACGAACTCGACCTTACGACCCGTTTTCGGGAATGTATTTTAAGTCGTAAATCCAAGTTTCGTCGGTATGCAATTTTCCCTTACGTGGGCTTTATTACAAGAGGTTATCATGGAGGTAAAGGTTTGCAATGTGAACTTCCTGATCCTCGTGTGGGGGGCGTGTTAGAATATCTCCACCGTAGCCTTGCGAGCCGTAGAATACGACGAATATGGAACAAGGTGCGTGGGGGATATAACTGTACCACCCTGTCACTTAAGGGACATAAACAGAGGGACATAGTCGTCAAGTTTGGGGGGTCTGACGCAAGGCTGGCGACGTTACTCTGTAAAAAAATAAAATATTGTTGCGAAATCCAAAGAAGTTAAACCCGGATCAAATCTGGCAGAATCTTCTTAGGAAAGCGGTAGTCTGGTAGGTCTGTACCAAAGTTTCGGAGGAACATAATGCCTCCATCTTCAGTCTACCCTAAATATGAAGGCTGTAAAAAAAGGTAGAGCTTCCCCTGTAACCGGCCATGAAGATCCATAGGGTTGTGAGACGTCGAGGCTCAAACATTTTTTAGACAATCGCTTCACGGATGGCGGTGACGTTGTCAGCCTTAAGCGCCGGCAGCCATTTACACCCCAGGTAGATTCCTGGTATTCATTTCTGTTAGAGGTCAAGTCGACCCCAGGGCCATGTTCCTCCGAAATGTTGCTACCCACTGCACAGTATTATGAACAGAAGCAACTGGTTTGCTTTGTTCACTAACCCTTTGAAACCACGCCCCGCATGCTTTACCCTCAAGGTTTTATGGGTTTCGTATGATTCTCAAACTATGATAATTTCGGCACCGTTAATACCTAGTTAATTCGGACGCTGTTTGCGCCCTTTTACGGAGGAGATGAATCTGAATTTTACTGAGCTGAAGTTCTGGCTTCGAGAGATGAAGACACTTCGTAAAAGGCAACGTACTATACTTTCTTTCTGCTTCCATGGATTATGCCCTTGAGACAACCAGTAGTTATCCTTGGATAGAACATCCCATCTTCCTTAAGTGAACACAGTGAGTGTGGGGTTTTGCATCTATGTGTACCGACTCCCCCTCTCGTGACAGATAAGGCGAATCCTTGTACTTGATCTAGCCCGTTACGTCACGTCTATAAAAGTGTAACCTCGTACTGTCACGTTATCTCGGTTATCACAGAAACGCTCTCTGCAGGCGGTACGGTGCGCGCGCAAGCGAGGTTATCGTACGATAAGACGGGACTGCCAGAACCACACCGAACTGTTCGGTTACGTAGTCGCACCGTTGCGATGGGACATCGTCTGGTAAGCCACTATACAGACGAAACATAAATTAAACCTTCGAAACGTAGTAGTTACTACAGAGTAATTCTAAATTACTGTAGGGGTTTCTGTTGCCTTTAATTTTCAAACCGGAAACAACAATACAAAAATGCGCGTTTTGAGTTGTTCAGCATTCTGCAGTATTGATTCCATTGGTAAGAAGAAAGTTTTTGAGTTATACTTTCATATTCCGTAAGCAGTTTACTTTTTTTTTCCGGTTTCAAAATTATAGGCCACGGAAACCCCGACAATAATTTAGATACACCTTGTATATGTGACTAATAATTCAAACATTACAAAATTATATCGTTTTCTCATACGTATGTCTTTCATATGATTCTGTGACTAAATAGATATTATTTTCCCAGTTGGGCTTTGTAGTATTGTAGTGCTGCATCCCCCACCCCTTAGAAATCACCCTACATTTTATAGCGATTTCCCGTTGTTTTATTTTGAGTTTTTAAATTTAATAAGTGTACGTCTAGTTTCATTCCAAACTCTAACGAATATACGCTACCAAGCCCGATCAAACTGAACTAACAAATCTTCAAATCTATAACAGCATTATAATTTCTTATGCAGTCCGTCAACATATGTACATTCCTCATTAATCATCTTATGATGGCACATCTGGGCCGAAACATGTTAGCGGTACGATAAAAACATTTGTATCACGGTGTCTCCTCAGATTTTATTTGTTTCTGTAATGAAGACGTGGTGAGGTTGTGACGACCGGAACTGATTTCACAACGCAACAACAAAAAATTAAAAGAATGCGTCTATTACCATGGTCACATCTGTCCATTCTCATGCTACTGGGAACTTCTGCTAATACCTGATGACACATTCCAATTTACGTTAAAACTGGACAACAATGGGCATTTTACATGAAAGACTGACTACACGCGCTTCTTGGAGCATTTGGAAATTAACACACCAGGATATGGACCAGTGGCGTGCTCTTGTGAACACGGTAATGAACCTTCGGGTTTCATAAAATGCTGGGAAATTCTTGAGTAGCTACAGATTTGGCTTCTCCTCAAGAAGGGCTCCGCTCCATAAGTAATATCTGCAAGAACGAAAGATACTGCGAATAGCAGTTGTGGAGAAACGTTAAACATATTTAACGCCCAATACATTTCTTCTGAACATCTTACGGTTTTCGTGATAATTGAAATAAGGATAATAAACAAAGCAAACAAACTCCGTGGCCTATAGTTCGCAAGCGAACTACACCGACCGAGGGACCGCCGTTTGTCGGCGAAATTAGTGCCAACTTTAGCGGATAGAGGGTGTCGCGTGCTTAGCGCAATGAATCCCCACGGCCATTAATTTCGGTTTTCTACACCGGAGCCGCTATTTCCTTGAAATAGCTCCTCAGTTATCATCACGAGGCTGAGTGGACCCCGTTCCACACCCACTACTTTTCAGAAAAAAATCTGGTAGCGCCGGGAATCGAACCCGGACCTCTGGATCTGCAGCCAGGAGCTCTGACCACTAGACCACAGAACGCACTAAAATTTCGATGCTATGCGTCTCTTTCCCAACTAGTTACTCAGGCTTGAATGAACTTCATCTACTGTACAGCCTAAGCTCTGGTCTTTATAGCCCAGGTTCCGGATCCTGGCAAATGCCAACGCAAAACAGGAGTTTATCTAAATATGAACACACGGGAACAACACTCGCAACGAAGAATAGCTTTGCCGGCGAGGACCAGCAGAAATTTACTGGACTAGACTGAACTGCTTGCGAGTGAGTCGTTGAAGGCTCACAAAGCCGTCAGACACAGAATGAGGCCAGTCATCCCGTGGGACTCGGAACCAAGAATCGCTATGCTGGCGAGGACCAGCAGCAATTTACTGGACTGAACTGTTCCAATCTGTATGGTAACAATGCATAAACTATAAATTAATGATTATACTGTTTACCGATCCATTTCTATGTATAATATCCATTACTACAGATTCCAACAATACTACGATACGTCACACCGTAATTTCAAATTTTTGCACTGTTGAAGCTTTCGAATTTTGGCTCGATCTAATGAAACGTTTATGAAAAAAATGTTCATAATTTTCTTCCTTTCAGCAAATAACTCTAGGCGTATTCAAAATGGATTACCATAAAATTTCATTTTTGGAAGTGTTACAAAAATTTGTAGATATATTCCAATTTGGTCATAATCGGACAACAATAAAGGACATTTTACACAAAGCCTAACAGGTGTTTCTTAGGTCCATCTCTCCTGTTATTTTCTACATATTTGTCGGCGCGAAAACCAATCTAACAGAAGTTGTCGAGAAAAATTAATTACGTTCTACGCCGAATGCCCTTTTCTGGCAAGTTTGGAGGCGTCATTAAACAAAAGTGAGTCAAACCGCAAGACTGTTACCCTGTGCTGCGTTTTATAACTTGCTATTATGCACATCAACAGTTGAATTTCTGCGTAGACTCATTACACTCAGGTACAACTAACATGCAACATTTCAGGTGAAGTTTCAACACGTCGACCAGACTGATTCCCCCTGGTACACGGAAAATCAGTGTTGTACGGTGTATTGTCTTACCTTATGACGTAACAGCGAGTATTTCGTATCCTCTTGAACGTCCAATTAAAGGCTGGATCTTGAAAAAGTCACGGTCTGTATTGTCTTGCGGTCAAAAACGATTAGCACAAATCGAATAAGGTCCAATATCGCACAACACCACCATTACTCGTCTAAATGTGTCAAACCAGAAGCACCATTCATTGGCGAAATATATACTTCACTCCGTGATATTTGAAATATTTCGTTCACGTAATTTAGTATTTAAACACCATGATAAATACAATAAGCAGTTTCTCAGACTACAAATTTCAAAATGTTATGTAATGCACTGGTTGTTATAGCAGTATGTATATAACAGATTCAAAATCCGTCTGGTCCAAAAATTAATAACACTTCTGGCAAAGCGTCACGTGCAATGCCGCCCACTTGTTCACCTGACCGCGTTGTTAGGGGCATTACTGCGGCAGACTCTTTACAGACACCTGAAACACAAAACAGCACAATTACTCCACAGAAACGTTCTAAACAGATAACATAACAAGTCAACTGACGTTTCGGAGAAACATATCGCCTCCAACTTCAGAGTAGAGGAAAAAGGAGAGCATGAAACCAGCGTGAAATCAGAGCACTGGAGGCGATATACCTCCGAAACGTCGGTTCATTTTCAATGCACTGCGCGGCGTTATACCCAAGAGGATAGTAAAGGTAAAAAAAAGTAAAGCTATCCCTGTAATAGGCCAAGGAGACCCATAGGGTTGTGAGACATCGAGGCTCCCACATTATCTGGACAACAGGCTCTCAGATCGTTGTGAGGTTGTAAGCCTCAAGCGTCGACCGCGCTTTAGCCCCAGGAAGACTCCTGGTACTCATTTCTGTTAGAGGCTGAGTCGACCCCAGGGTCATAGTGCGACTGGAAGGATTATGTCAATTGAATAATCCAACGACCTCAACGCGAATCGAAACCAAGACGTTCCGGCTTGTAGCATACTGCCTAAACCAGCTAGGCTATATATAGCGTGCCCCACAAGATAGTACTATTCGTAAGCAACGATGTGAGAACCTAAAATCCTAAAGGAGCACGTATCCAGTAAGACGGATAACAATACAAATCGCTCGCTACTTAACGGAAAGTCCGTGATTTCTGTACACAGCAGAACCTGGGTAATCCGAATTCCTAGCAGGCCAAACTGACTTACAGGTAAAAATGTTGTCCCTGTGCTTAATTAACTAAGCACTATGCCCTGAACATACATGGGGGAGTGGAGATATAGCTCCACGATTCTTGACCTCGGCACTAGATGAAGGTGAATGGTCAGCTTCACACACCCGCCGCTTTACCCCCGAGGACGGAGCCCCCGTACTCATTGGATAGGAGGCTGGGTGGGCTCCAAAGCAGATCTAGATGCTGTGGAGAAGATAACAAATTTTGCCCCTACCGACTCAGCTCTCAAGACTCCAGAACTGACTTGTTTTTTCACTGGCTCTACAGCCCCCTTGGGCCCTGACCTCTGATTTTCAGTTTTATCGTCATTTTACAGACGGTACAGCTACTTGGACGACTGATCAGCTCATCGCAAGGCTTCTACCTAAACACAGGACAACACAAACACAGAATAAACACACATACCACACATCCATGCCTTGTGTAGAATTCGAACCCACCATCCCGGCTTCCGAGCGAGCGAAGACAGTGTATGCCTTAGACCGCCCGGCTACCTTGACCGGCCAACTGACTTACAGAACCAACGAAATTATATGAATAAAAAAAAAGTTAAGCTATCCCTGTAACAGGCCGTGAAGACCCATAGGGTTGTGAGACGTTGAGGGTCCCACATTAGATAATGTGGGACCCTCAACGTCTCACAACCCTATGGGCCTTCATGGCCTGTTACAGGGATAGCTTTACTTTTTTTTTCAACTGATAACGATTACGGGGGCCCTTCAGAAGCTTATCTCACGACTCAGGGTTTGCAGTCTCCACTGTTGCATGAACTGCTTCATCAATCTCTGTGTTCATCCCAGAGCGTTAACATTTCTCTACAAAACCATGGTTCATTTTAGCCTACTGTCGCGGCGTGCGCACAGCAATGCGCATTACTCAGTCTCAATATTGAGATCCTCGCGACTGCGCAGCATTCTGATACGACCTCGTCCACTTTTATCGCCATTCCCACGTGTCGAACCAATCCTCTGCATTACTTCTGTGTGTACACCTATGTTTACTTTTGGATCCGTACAGCGAACAGGCTTATTCAAAAAGCAACGTTCTTACTTCTTACCTTGAAATGTACACGGGAACTTTAAAGCATGACTCTACTCTCAAGGATCTCTACTCCTGACCGCCATTGGCCCTGGGCAATTAAGTGAGGACAGTGAGCGCCTGGCGAGAGACCGCTGCGCTATTCCTTCGGATGAAATACAACACGCAAACATTATGAGGGCAGTACTTTCAGCAAGAGCGCGGTACTTTCTCTTCGTTACTAAGCTAACTGTTATTAGGCCTTATTACCCCACGTACCGCCTGACATCAAACTTGAAACTGTAATACGAGGGACAGTCGGTAAATAAGTCACAAACGGAAGTAAAACAGATGTAATGGACGTAATAGTTTTCCGTATGTATAACACTAGGTAGCAGACGCGCATGTGAATGTTCCGACGCTGGTTTCAATAGTCAAAATGGCGATCGTGCTTGAGAACTGTACTACCAAAGAGCAGCGTTCTGCTGCACGTATTTTTGTGAGCAAAACGCATTCATAAAGAAATTTTTCCTCTTTACGGCGGGAAGTGTTTGTCGCGTAAAGCGATTCACAACTGGGTGGTAGACGTTTCACTGATGACGAAGAGGGTGAGACAATAGTCAGGAAGACTTATATGCTGCTCGTTTCCACGCATTGGTAAAGCGATGAGACAAGTGTATCAGTATTTGTGGAGGGATATGTAAAGAAATAAATGGTTTTCTCCAGGCTCAAGAATATCGCATGTTTTACGTCTTATATCCATTGTGACCTATTTATTGACCCTCCCTCATATTATCGGGCTGTATTTTATATTCATTACTGTACAATCCTAACCGCCATTACTTCTTACACTTTAACCTGTACCCTTCTGTGTCATTTCTTTTGAGGTGCACTGCACATTACACGTAATGGGTTCGTAACAGAAGCTACTACAAACCTTGGCCTTCTTGTATAAATCTGGTCTCCTGCAGAGGCTGTGTGCACTTCGCATACAGTAAAAATGTAAACGACTCACCCTGCCATCTAGGATATCCCTTCGCCTTATTGAGGATCTAGAGCTCAACATTAACCAATTTCAAAGAGGTGAGCCCTTCTTGAGAAGCCGCCAGTCGCCCAGTCAGTCAAAAATTTCCCAACATTTTTCTGGAACCGGAAGGTCCTCTGCCGTGTCCACAACAGCCCTCCCCACTGGTCCCTATCCTGAGCCCGATCAATCCGGTATACACCACCCCATCCTATCTCTCTAACATTCATCTTAATATTATTCTCCCATCTAGGCCGCGCCATAGCTCAAGCGGTTAGTCGCTGGCTTCCCACCGCGGCGGCCCGGATTCGATCCCGGGTCTGGTCAAGTGGGACTTGTGGTGGACAAAGTGGCGCTGGGGCAGGTTTTCTCCGAGTACTTCAGTTTCCCCTGCCAATCTTCATTCCACCAACTGCTCCAAAATCACCTTCACCTATTATCTGGGGCTGGTACAATATGCCAGAAGTGGCCGCAGTACAAGGGACTCAGTCCCAACCCACTAGCAATAGAAAAAATCCTCCCACCTACATCTAGATCTTCCTAATGGCCGCTTTCATTCTAGCTTTCCCACCAATATCCTGTATGTTTTCCTCTTCTTCCCTGCTCCCTTGGAAGACTTTTATCTTTTACTCTTTGAATGTATTCTCTTTCGGCGGTTATTTAATGACGCTTTCAATACGAATAGCATACAGCACTGGATGGTATGATATACGAATGTTTGGAAAATATGTACTTGAAGTAGTAGTGGCACTAAACAGGCATTCGCCTGAAGGGACCGGAACCCCTTAAGAATCGGTCGAGATTCGAACCGAGTACCTGCCGAATACAAGTGTAGAGCGTTACTTGTACATATTTACTTCCGTGATTACAGCATCACATTCTGTCGGCTGAGCCTGAACACTACATAAAACTATGTGTGTTGCATTGTGCAGTCAGTACCTCACCTCGGCGTACCTGAGACACTACGGAACAAGTTAGAAAACGTATGCAGTGCCTAACAATGCTGGCGCCTTTGCTCACATTTATTCAGTTACATACTACAAAGACTTGATAAAGTTAAAGTATTTGGGTACACTGATGACAAAATCAAAATTGTATTCCCAAAGAAATTAAAGAGTACATCTGGTTTTTGGAACGGTCCAGAAAACCGAGATTGTCGGCCGTGGGGATTTGTTGCGCTGACCACGTGACACCAATCCGCAAAATTTGGAACTTCTTCTTCTTTTATTTCTTTGCATAGTGGGGGGGTGGAGTCCAGCTGGGTCCACTCTGTACGTCAGCCACTGATTGGCCTATTGTACCTGCCCCGGGTGATTATGATGGAGAATTTGGTGGAATGAAGACTACCGGGGGAAATTGAAGTACTCGGAGAAAACCTACCCCAGCGCCACTTTGTTCACCACAAATCCCACTTCACCAGACTCGGGCTCGAACACGGGACGCCAGAAACTAACCGCTTGAGCTATGGCGCGGCCAAGCAGTCGCTTGGTCGGTATAGTTCGCTAGCGGACTAAAACTACGGAGTTTTGTTTTTCCAGTTTTGGGAATCTTACTCTTGTTCAGTTCAGTGTCTTTTGTCTTCCCATCTGGTAACCAACGACGCAAAACGATTAAATACACAAAAGTATAATTTGCCGTATTTTAGCATCAGCATGGTATCTGACAGGAGCCTGGTATAGCGACTGGCTACGGGCTGGAAGACCGAGAGCTCAGAGTCCCGGTGGGGTCAAGAATTCTCTTCTTTACGTCGTCCAGACCGGCTCTGGGGCCAACTTCCTCAGGGGTAAAGGTGATCACTCACTTCCAAAGGGCAGTGATAAAGAATACGTGGATCTATACAACCACTCCCCCATACGTCTTGACGGCGCAGTGCTTAATTTGTTAAGAACGCGGACTTCACCTTCATCTCGAAAATCGTTTCAGCAGAAGTGTGCAGAGCATTAAATATTTTTCAGTTTTCTCTACAAATGTTTATTCGAAACATTTATCACCCCGATACATACGTGTATTCAGCCAGTTACAAGATGCGAGCGAAAACGCATGCCGACTCCAAAAAGCAGAGTCCTCCTTGAGAAGCTAACAGTCGCTCACCCTCTAAACATATCCACCAGGTTTCCAGAGAATCCGCGAAGTTTCATTACTGTGTTCACAAATTCCTGCCATTGGACCCTTATCCTGAGCCAGCCAAATTCAACCCACCATCCGAATTGTATTTAGGC